AAACGAAGAATAGTCACTTCCTACGATCAATAAGGCGTCCTCTAGCCTTTTAACCCGAAACCCGAGGTAACATCTCGTCCCTTCTGTTGTCCTTATGAAAGAACGTTCAAGCTTGAAAACAGGATGTTTCAATCCGGAAATTCGATCAGCCTAGCCTTTCTGTTCACCTTTATCCAAGCAACGTTCGTCTGCCTGAAGTCAAGTGGAATGAAAAGTGTCTCTGAGAAGTGTGCGGTATATCTTCTGGAAAGAATATCTCGTCTCTTCTTGGAGGGTAAGTCTCTAGAGTAGAGATCAGAATTAAAAGGATTCCACCGTTATTTTTTTTTTCTCATTGTTCCTGGAGATCGGTGAATGACGACAGAAAGAAGAAGAAGAAGTCTAGCTGGCAGACTCCTCTGTGGCCACTCGAGGACGAAAATAAAAGAAGGACTCGGTGGCCTGGAAGATTTTCGGCTGGCAATTTCCGCGACTCGAATCTGGTTTCACTGGAAACCTCCCCGCGGGACAGCGGAAGAGGGAGAGAGTGAGGATGGGGAAGGCATTGTTCTCTCGTGGTTGCTCCTCAATAAAGTAACAGGGCTGAATCTCGGTGCTTGGGTACACGTGTTACACGATGGCTGCTCGAAATTCGCCGATTGTCCATGTGTGCCTGCACACTTCTTCTCCGTTGGGGGCAGCAATGTGCACGGGTTTTTTTGCAGAATAGCTCTTTTCTGTAGGTATTGTCAGGGCGACGTTTCTTCGATCGTTTCGGACAACCGTCGCTACGGGTAATTAGAAAATCCGTCCTGTGAACTGTTTGGAAGCAATAGAAGTGTCTTCTTGATTCGTATGAGGTTCGATTTTAATGGTAGGTCAGATGAAATGATAATTTTAACGAAATCTACTTGCAATCGAAGAATAGTCGATGTCATAGGCCGCGAGATCTTCGATAAGATTTCTGTAACAGATATACGGTAGTTTGTGAAACTACGTTGAAGAAAATTCGCGTTGATTCCGCAGATAATTACGCGTGGCCGCGCTTCGTTCATCTCAATTGAATCTGGTAACCGCGTTTTTCTCCATGCTCGTTACGTAATCGTTTCGTAATGATGCGGTCGAGTTAATTCACGAGGAAATTCATCGATCGACGGGAACACGTCACGGTCCAGTCGAACCGTTTGTTCGAAATTCACGTAACCGCCGGAAAACGGTGTGGAACTCATATGGAAATGGTTCCATTTTGTCCTATAACGAGCCGCTTACGTAAACGATGCGCGAAAGATCGCCTGGACGACCATACGCGGTTGTATAATCGGGCTGCAACGATTAAAATGGCGGTCCGCTCGTGGCAAAACTTCCAGTGGACAATTCCGCGAATTGGTCGGATTCTTGAAAGCAACATAGTTGCTGTTTAAGATGGTTAGGCGAAGTGGGACAGCCTCTTCGCAATGCCTCCAATTTTCCATCGTGGACTATTCTTTTACAATTGTCGCTATTAACCCACGTTGTCTTGTAACGTAGAATTTCTCCAGTTTTAACAAGTCTCTCTCTCTCTCTCTCTCTCTCTCGAGGCTTGTTGTTCAAATAGGAAAAAGGATGTTCGTTTTAATTCCTAGTTTAGTTATTTAGAATTGCAATTATCCAAATTTTTAGTGCAATAATTGTATCTATTGTTCGAAAAAAAGTGGACACTCTGTTTAGGAGTAAACTATTGTAGGATCGGGGCCTCTATACCCAAATAGAGAACCGACGGGGAAAAATAGAGAGGGCGTTATTGGCGTAGTGTCTCGGCTTACTAGCCGGAGGTCGCGGGATCGATTTCCGTTGGGTCCCTCATTTTTCCCTCGGTTCCTGCACTATCAGTCGCCAGAAGAAGTGAAACATCGAAGGAGAGCACCTGATTCCCTCTTCGCCGACAAGTAGGAGGAGGATAGTAGGTCGTAACATTAGCGTCTTAAAACTTACATACAACAATCCTGTTGACCAGATCTCTACTTTTCTTCCTGCCTGTTTCTTATCTTTTTTTCCATGCACTTTTTGCATCGCAACTGTGTGTGCAGTTCCTCCTAATCGATATCCTTGTTGGCTCGTCCTCCTCTTCGCGGCCTCATCTGAAGCTCGAAAACAAGAGGCTCCGTGTAGTAAAAAAAAGAAGAAACGAGCCTGGGACCAAAGAGTTTCAGGCCGCCGTGGATCCTGTGTTGTCCCGTCGCCATTCTCCTCTGCCTTTGTTGCCGCAAATGACCATCGTCGATGAATGGACAAGCTGCGGTCGTACGCTATTCTCGTCTTACGGATGTTGCACTTTTACGTTAAGGATGTCCAGTTCAAATTTGTCCGTTGAAATCTCGAAGAATTCTATTTCTGAACTTTGTCTTGCATGCTTCGTAAACTTAGGGTTGAATAAAAGCAGAGAAGTATAGGAAAGAACCGCCCAGAATTGGAAAATTGGGAAGAAAAAAGAAAGATAGATTTTGTTAGCCTCGATTTTTCACGATAGATCTGCAGACTGAAAAAGTGGAGAAAGAGAAGTCCACGAAAGATAATAACGAATAGAATCAGCCTATCCTCTCCGTTGTGAATAGCCACTCGAGCGCCATCCAGTCGGAATTTTCCTTCTTTCTTCCATCTGGAACACCGAGGAAATGTTCTCGGGGAGGAACGATAAGATTTGGAGAAGGATCGCTAAATCAGCGTGGAGAGCGAAGAAGATGAAGTTCTTGGACGCTGACCGTGCGTGAGCCGCCGCAGAGACTTCAATGCTAGGCTACGTGATCTCCGGAACGCAGGAGCGACGACACCGCGCGAGAAGGAGAGAGGGAGTCACGTTGGCGCGACAGACAGAGAGCGGCGAAAGGCCGTTCGCGAGGGAAGAAGAAAAAAGAGAGCTTGGAACAATCCTCGAGAGAAAAGGTGATATTTAGCAGACTTCATGGAAAATGGAAAAGGTTTGAAATGTGGGAAGAGGAGAAAATTCGTAGAGAAAACATTTGGAAGATTTTTTGGAAAACTGATATAGGTACGTGACACAATGGGCAATTATCTATTCAGGAAACATGCATCCTCTTCTACTATTATCCTTTTATCAGGAGGGAGCGGAAAGAAGTGTTCGCTCGTGGAATAAAGGTAAAAACTTTTGGAATTGTGGGACAAAGATAAGGAGGAAGCAAGAAAAGAAGAACCAGGAGTATTGTAGCTTTAAAAAGAGTAGTTCAAAGAACAGTTGCGATAGTAAAAAATCATGAAGGAACGGTAGGAAGATTTAAAAGTTAAGGACAGTAGGATCGAACTAGGTACCTCAAAGAAACGAAAGACTCTCCCTGTTTCTGCGATTTTCTGAGAATGGTTAGGAAATACAAAAAGGGAGCCGAAATTTCGTGGGACGAACAAAGAACAGGGTATACGTCTGTTGGAAAGCGCGGAACAAAATCGAAAGAAGAAGAAGACGAAGAAGAGGAAGAGGAAGAATGAAGATGCGAGAAAGTACGTTGCGAGAGAAAGAAGAAAAGGAGCGAGCACGTTGGAATAAGAGAGACGGAGAAGAGTACGATCGTGGAAAAGCGTTAGAGGGGTACGAGAGAAGCACAGTGGAGGGACGTAAGGTAGGAACGCGCAGCTGAAAAGTGGTGTGGGCAACTAAGGCGTGGAGAGGGAGGGGTTCAGGTTGAGGGAAAGGTAAAGTTGTTGAGGGAGGTGGCGGGGAACGAGAGAGCGAGGGGGAGAGACTGAGAGAGAAAGAGAGAGAAGGGGACACCGGCTTGCCTCGGTCGGAGTAAAGCGAAGCCAACAAACTCACGTCAGTTCGAAGCTGGAGGGATACCAGCGTTCCTCGTGCGTTCTACCATGCTAACACTGTGCCAAGTTCCTCGTGTACATCGACACTTGTCGTCCCTTTCTGCTATTTCGTGATCAAAAGTGACTTTGAAAGTGAAACCACCGCGACCGTACGTTTTTGATGAATCTTCTTCAAGTGTTTTCCACCTGAGAGATTGAAGAGAAGAGCAGATCGATCCTCTCTAGATCCCCGTTCAGTCGCGGTAGGAGAAGGAAGCCGGAATGGCACTCGCCGCTGGATTCTAGAGGCAGTGGGAACCTGAATCGTCGATTGGTGCGTCGCAGTTCTTGTAGATAGGGACGGAGTTCGTTTTACGAGTATTCAATAGAAATAACAATGTACCGAAGAGTCCATTGAACTTTTTATCAATATTTAAGAATCTTCGAAAATAATTGGAAGATCTATAGACTTGAACTTTCGTTGTACATACGCAAGAAAAGTACAGTATTCGCAGAGGAAAGGCAAGAGGAGAAAGCGTAAGAACGCGAGTACTGCAACGAATTCGCAAATTAATCCACCCCTGGAGGGGGAGTGTTGGAATCAAAAGAGGGTTGGAGAGGGGTAAAACGGAAGTGAGGGTAACGAAAAGCGTCGGTTTTCCCCCTGGGGTCGGGTGATATGAGCCGGGCGCAATTAAGGCGGTTAACGGAGTCGGGAATACCTGTCCGGCGGCGGGCCAAAACCGGTACGAGCGTTCTCCATGCGATATAGCTGGCGGTCTGCCGTCACCACCACCACCACCACCATCACCTCCTCCACTACCTCCTCCTCCTCTTTCCTCGTGGCCGCTGCTACTGCTGCTGCTGCATGCAGCCTTCAAAAGGTGCATACACCTTCGCTCGCTAGCACCGAGTCTGCGCTTCTTCTTCGTGCCGCGCGCGCCTTCTCTCCTTCTCTCTTTCTTCGTTCCTTTCTTGCCTTTGAGACTCTGTACGAAAACGAACATGGACGCTGTAGCGTCCAACAACCAGTGATGTACCCTCCTTCTTTCTTAATACGGAGGAACGAGAGTGTCCATCGTGTGATACAGCTTCTTCTTGCGTGAGAGGCGAAGAGATCATCGTCTGCGTGATGTCTCGTACAGTGTTGTAGAAGAAAATTCGAGTGGCGCTCAGAGTGTGTTGATACATCGAAAAATCGGGTGTTGTGACGTCCACAAAAAGATATATCCATTCTTTTTCCACGAGAATCGTGTGGCGAACGTAAGGGCATAGATCAACGAGTGTTATAACGTCCACAGAGTGAAACGTTCTTCTTGTTACACGTAAGAGATCGGCGAGTAGTGTTCGCCGATAGTGCGTAACCGGAGCGAAGTGATCCGCGCGAGTCGATGTGGAGGGGAGTAGCGGGGTTGATCCACGAGTTGGATTATCTGTGCGTGTGGTGCAATACGGGGGCAGTGGGCATGTTGGAAAGGGCGGGAACGGGAAGGTGATACAGGGAGATCTTGAGGAACCTGGAAAAATTTCTCTTCTAATTGTTGGAAGACGTACTACAGGAGGAGTAACATCAAGAGGAGAAGAAGAGGATGATAGTGAGTGAACGGATGAGAGAAGAGTGAACAGGAAAATGGAAGGTCTAACGAGCTATTGAGATTCTTAGCTCGTCGGTTAGTTGGGCACACTGCGAGCTGCGAGAGAGTCCGTCCATGAGGTTTGAACGAAGGACGAATTGTTGAGAAGCCACGCCATGAGAATCCTCAAAACGCTACACTGGTAGGTTTCAACGACGTTGACTCTTCTTCACGCGGGTATACTCTCTCTCTCTCTCTCTCTCTCTCTCTCTCTCTCTCTCTTCTCTATATCTTATGGTGTTTTCTGGTTCTTGGTTGAGGCGTTTTACGGCTTCGAAAGCCGTTCGTTAATCCAGGGTTGTTCAAGTTGTTCTTTGCATGAAAACCAATTGGAAGAAACATTCACCTGAAAATTCACTCCCTTCTGCCTCCTTGCAGAAACACGGGGGAAGATGAAAAGTTGTCCATATATCGACCATTTTATAATGCTGCAAAATAGTACTTATTGTATCGACCAGATTCTAGCGTGGAATGTCGTTGATGACTGGTACACGTTTCGACCGCTCCACCGAAAGTCTCGCGCACAAAATATTCAAACCTTGACTAACAGATAGATGAAACAAGGTACATATTCTACTAGACACGTCCAAGGGAAACGTTTTCCTGGTCGTATCCCATTTAACCAAAAGCAGTTAGGTCAGCGTGTTGAAGTCGTAAAAGGTTCAGGCATGCGCTAATGCCGATTTGCACGACGTTCGTCACGAAAATACGAGTACTAAGCTGTTAACGAGCATGAATAGAGCGTGCAACGGTACTCTCTGGAAGGTAGGCATAATTCGAGTTGAACGAGCTTCCTGGCTTCCACGTTATGGAATACTACGTGAACATCAAATATTTCGAAGAATCCATCGAATAATTTTTTACCCAGAGTCGTAGAATTAGGAATTCCATTGAAAAATCCTCGTTTATCTCTGTGAGTTGACGGAGAATTTTTCTAGGAGGATACAGAAGGGTGTTGCATAATAGTCGATCGGTAAGGAAAGGCTGGGACACTTGTTCTCACAAAGTGGCGTTAGGGGAGAGAAGAGGGGCTGGTGTGTTTCCGTTTCTGCAGCCCTGGTTACCTGGGCCGCCTCCGCAGGTATCGTTAAGCCAGGGCCGCATTTCACCGCGTGTGGAGCATGGAGAATGCGAGAACGCGTTCACCGGTGACGTTTGGCATTCTGATTTTTCCACCGTCCTGAAATTCCTCGCAGCGAAAATTTCCCACGGCAAGGACGCGTTCCCCTTAATTGAAATATGAATTATGTATAACAATACTTGAACTCCTCTCACTTGAAAGAACATTTCGAATGGTGAAACTCACGGAAGAATCACATATGCGCATGTCGTAGCATATAATATGATGGTTACATAAACTGCAAAAGATTTCACAGAAGATTGGCTGGAGAGAGAATCGCGGTAAACCTTGAGCTTCTCTTCGATCTTTCGTCGAACACCGTCGCCATTGTGGCGCTTCTGTTAAACTCTGTTGATTTCCGGCGCGCTGATAAACGCCGTTATTCGATTTTCAAAGAATTCCATTAGCAGAGGTTTACTTCGTTTCTAGGAGTTCGTCGAAGGTTTAGAGAATTGTACGAGGGAAGAGGTGTGTTTCTCTAGTGTCTCGAGGGAAGAAAATGAAGTCGTCTAGGTTTTTCGTAAACGCTGGTGATAGATCAGAGGTCTCGCAGCAGCACGATGGTGGTAGAAGAACGTGGAACGATTTTAGCGAGTTCCTTGCAAGAAGAAGACGGCCGAAGAGAGTTCGGGTGCTGAAGAGGCGCAATGCGATTAGGTCTGTTCAGCTTTCAGCCTCTGTGAGGACGGGGTACTTCTTGGAATGGTTCTAGACGAAATGCATCGTATTCTTTTGACGTGAGGGGGCCTGTGTATTCTCCAGAAACACGGCGTCTTTTGAGAATCATTGCTCGTGGGAGCTTAAGGAGGTTCCCAAGAACAGGCATATTATACAGAGTGCTTATGAACTATAAGTGGAAACTTAAGTGGTTAATAAAAGTCGCTGAGAGAAAAATGAAAAGGTCTGTGAGGTACCTATATAATTGTGTGTTCTTGAAACGCAACGATTTTGTAGTCTGTAAATTAATAGAATAGGATAAACGATAATTCATTGAAACTCACGTTTCCTTCATCTTTTTGCGACTCTTATCAACTGATACTCAGCTTCTGTTTACAATTTAGAAACACCCTGTACATTCTTCGGCTAAAATACAGGGAAAACGGTTTCTTAACGGAGTGCTTCTGTTTTCAGAACGGAGTAAGGTGCGCGCAGAATATCTCTGTGAGCGAAAAAGCACATGAGAATGCTGCGAGAAAACGAAAATGGTGTTGTTGACTAGCGGGAGAAATAGACGAGGAACGTTTTTCCTAGAAGTACCCTGTTCGAATCGACACTAACGTGGTCGTTCCCTTTAACAGTAATACCCTTATTAAAAGCGTGTAGCTAACAACTGCTAACCTAGATATCGTTTTCCTGCTTTAGACCAGAGAGAGAGCTGGTCGAGTTTCCACGAGTAGCAACAGCCCAGCACACGTAGCATAGATGCACGTACACGTATGCTCTTTGTACGTACGATGCTGTCACCTAATCCGTTTTATCTCTTTTTGCTGTCCCGTCTACTAGACCACGTTCGTACTCTCTTCCATCGACTCTGTACAACGTCCTTGATCGGTCGTAATGCGATACACTTGATTGCTGCATGATGAATCGTGATTGTAGAAAAATTTGTCCTCAACTAAATAGTAAAGTGAATAGTCAGCGGTTTCTGCTAATTTCCGTTTCGTTTCGATCGCCGATGTGTGACACATTTCTATCGATAAGGAGTTTCAGCTACGGAATGAGTCAGTTAGATTAGAAATTTATGAAAAATTCTGTATTTTTAATCATTTACGTTACGATAACACGAATCACACTCGTGGTGCAAATCATTGTTGTCCAGATACGTTAAAAGAAATATTGTAATAAACCAGAATTTTAAATTTATCTAATACAAACAATGAAAGAAGTATTCTGGTCTGTTCATCTCTATCATAGTAGCTATCCATCAATATCAATTATTTTCACTCTGTAGCACAGGGATAATTGAATGTTTGGCTGAAATTCCACAGCTATGACTCTCCACGTGACTAACGTTTGCCAGACTTGGATCGGTGGAACAGCGTATGTATGTACACGTAGAGCGAGGTTTGAGAAAGAGCAAGAACAGTGTCGCGGGCGTTCCTTGGAACGATCCTTTGAAAGGAGGCACGGAGAGAAAGCACGTGAACTCGTTTACGTTCGTCTGGCCGAGCACATGGTGGACTGCGCGCTATTGCACACATGCGGTTTTCTGTCGCTTTTGTCCAACCCGGTATTGTCTCGTTCCTCCGTCGTGAATTCACGTGGCCGCCACTTACGTATACGAATAGCGTAATGCCGCGTCGCGCCTCTTGTTCTTCAGGAGCCCCCTTTCCGTTGCCCTTGTAACTGGATCCACGGGAAAAAATCGTATTCATTGCTTTGCCACGCGATCGTGTTCCTCGAAATCGAACAAGAAAGAAAAAGGAATATACATCGAGCTCTAGGGAAACTAGATCTACTTGTTGAATCGTTCAACCTCCCACATCTCTGTCGTTTTCTTGAATAGATATTGCTTTGTAGTTGAAATTGTAATTGCAGTCTTCGAGTCCAGTACCGTTTGCTATCGAAGCTTGGAAGGTTAACAAGCGTGGCTTTAAGTATAACGAGATTTAAAACGACAGCTATATAACTTGGCAACTTTTTTCTGGCAAAGTATCGAACAAAATTAGATGTCTTTTTTTTTCGTTCTTCAGAGAATCCAGATCGATCAACTTATTAATTTTCAAGATTTTTATCTCAAACAAGGTTCGAAGTTCAAACAAGCTGAAACCTTTTTTCCATGGAATTTCATCAGTTCTGACTACGAACCGTGAAAACAGAGAAGGCACACTGTAAGAAATCGATTAGAGGAGGAAGGAAAAAGAAATAAGGGGGCGATTCGAAAGGGTGTGAACTCATCTCTAATTATTATTCGTCGAGCGAAGGGAAATTCTGTTGGCTGTAAAATCGCGTCAAAACGCGTGGCTGTAATTGTAACGCTCTCGGAGAATCGAGAACCCGATCGAATAACCGCGTGCCTGCTCGATATTGGGCTGAAATTTCTAACGCGTTATTCACGCCGCTCTCGTTCGAACGGTAACAGTTCACCCGTGAACACCAGACCCCCCACATTTTTCTCAATTTTTTAAGCCTGCTTTTCAATATTCTTATCCAACATTCTATTCTTTGGATTATTTTAACTCGGGCTTATCACAGGTCACGGAAAGCTGGCTTATTTTTGCCTCGAATCTGATGGAAAGTCTCTTTTACTGTGATCTACTTTTTTCCACGTATCGCGTCTGCGTCGCTTCACTGATAGTCTCGATAAAAAAAAGTTGCAATCCAGGAAATCGAGCTTTTGGTAAAGTGTGACGAAATCTGTACATCCTGTGTGTACTGCCCCTTTCCAATCTGATAAAAGTGTCTGCTATCGAAGACGAAGATTTCGACAGAGATTATCTTTTCCTCTTAGAGTAAATTCTATTCTTCATTTTCACTGTACAGTGTTTAGAATACTTTACGGGTATCAGAAATGAGTTTTATTGATTTTTCTTTCATTGTGTGATAATATCTAACGACCAATACGTTATATGCCAATAAATTCAAAAAATTACCTGTGAAATACAGAGCAAACGCATTCTGCGTGTTCTGTAATCATGAAGGATTAACCGGCACAAGGGGAACTGCCAACCCCGGTGACCAATGTTGCGTAAATTTCCACTTTTACGGAGATTCTTCTCGAGCGCAGGTTCAACACGCAACTTTCATCTTTTTATATAACAACGTTCACGCTTTTTTTTCTCTGTCGCCCTCTTGCGACAACGGGTACGTTTCATTGTTTAAATCTCACGAAATTTTACAATCTCGATCGTGGTTAACGCGTTAATTCTGTCAATTATCCTATTAAGAAATAGAACATATGTACACACCACCATAACGTAAGAAGCTAATACCATAAAGAAAATGAACGGACGTAGTGGTAATTGCGTCGAGAAGAGGTTTCTCGAGGGAGTATGCCGCGAATCTGTAGTTTCGAATGATCATCTCACAGCGGGTAAGTGGCTGGTAATTTCGAGTTGACCTCGATCGCGTGTAAGAAAGGCGTTCAACCAACTCGTTATCTTCTCCTGGTATTTAATTCCTGTCTTCCGTAGTTTACATACACGTAGTATATCCCTCCTGTAGTTGCACCTCGAACCGTTCCCATAAAAGTTCATCGAGGCCCCGTTTTTCCAGCCATTTTGCCTGCGTATCTCTCAAGTATATAGGGTGTCCCGTGGAATTCCGATGGGGCTTTAGCGTCGAAACGGTTTGAAATATGAGCAAAAAGTGAACATTTTGTAAAATGTTTATGACACCCTGTATAGTAGCTCGATGCTTCACCGATAGAGGCTTAGTACTTTTCGTCCACCGTATTTGCGTTTGACCCCCTTTTTTTATCGAGACACCCTTTTTATCTCATACTCGAAGCGTTTACAAGGACCACCTTGAAACACACCTCGACGTTACAATTTGCACGGTGTTTTCGAACTATCTGACTTTCATCAAGCTTCCTTCCTTCGTTTTTGTACCTCTGGTTCGTAAACACTCTATGTATAATAAACGCACCACTGTCTTAACTCGTCCACTGTCGATCGTTTACATAAAAAATGAAAAATATTCCACAGGAGCGACGATACTACAGTGAACATGTTAAGTATACCCGTAACAAAACCTCAAATCCGCTAAAAATGATGTCAACCACCCCCTCGAATGTGGTGTTCCGACCTCTGTGCACCTGTTCCTATCCTACACAAGTAGTATCAGAAGTGGAACGGTGCTGAATAGCGTTTCCCTGGCTCTCGAAAGTCATTATGAAAGGAAAGAAAAGAGAAGCCAAGAAGGGACGTGTACATACATGTATAAGCATATATACACAAGTATATCTATAATACATATACCGGTCTGATCGAAAATCGTTAAAAAGGCGTCTCTGTTTTTCGGTGTCTGCAGGTCTCGAATGCGTAGCAGCAGTGGCGTGACGGACATACACTCGCAGCAGCAGCAACAGCAGCAGCAACAACAGCAACAACAGCTGCAGGAGAACAACAACAGCAGCTCGCGGGACGCGAAGAAGCCGCAGGAGGGGCTGGTTCCCGATGAGATGTGGGCCCCTGGCGGGCTAGGACCTCACCGGGAGCTACCAGTCGACGTGCCCGACACCCTCTTGCAGAAGGCCTACCCGAACAAGGTAAAGAACCACTGTTCTGGATATAGGAACGAGCCCCGTAACGCTATCCGTAACGCTAGCGACCTCTCCCTAAACCTTAAAAACGACACCCTTAAACCGCCGCCGCCACGCATCACCGCCATCCACAACAACAACAACAACAGCAAGAACAACAACGGAATCAAAACGGACCATTTGATAGACAACAGATCGTGCGTTAGAAACGGTCAGCCACCACCTATGCTCAAGATCGAGTTGAAAATCGAGTCGGAGAACCTCGAGGACGAGGACGAGTGTAAAGTGAAGAAGGATACGATTGGAAAGGAACAGAACAGAAGTCCGTCGTCTACCCACGACTCGCCTCGATTGAAGAATCCCTTCAAGGATTTCGAGGAGGACGAAGAGGACGAGGGCGTAAACGAGGATACCACGGGTCAAAAGGAGTCCAGCGTGGATCTGGACGTCGAAGAGGATTATCCGTTCGCTAAGGAAGATTATCCAACCATGTTGAAGACTTGCAGCGACGATTCGGCTAGCCCGAGAAGCTCTTCAGGCAGGTCAGATAGCACTGCTCCTTTGGATAGTAGCTTGGTGTTGAGACACGCAAAGAATCGTGGAAAGGAGTCGCCTACGTATGATGCTAGGAGGATAGATCTTGGCTCTCCGTGTAGATCGGTGGTTCCTGAGATTAAAGTGGCTCCTCTGTTCGGTAGAACCAGGGACGCCACCTCCTTCGATAATCCTGCGTATGGATTGGCTGATCTTCAGGATCTGCAGGGACTCTTAATAAGGTCTGACGAGGTATCCGACTTAACTAGATTAATCGACGAACAGTGTACTATACCTAGAATACCTCGAGAGCAGGACAGAGTGTCCCCAGCTCGTGTGAAGGATCAACACCAACGTTCCGGTGAATTACTCCAATCGGAAGTTGCCAGTCCATCTAGTAAGTCTATGAAAAATCCCAAGGGTCGTCGACAAACCGAAGAAAGGTCTAAACAGAAGGCAAAGACAAGGAGTTTGGACGTGGAGGAATTGATCAGAGTGGGATCCAGCGACGATCTCGTTAGAATTGAGTCCGGTAGCAGCCTCTCTTCGTCCTCGAGACAACGACCGAAGAAAAAGAGACACCAGCAGATCTCTAGTGGTTATTCAACGTTGAGGAGCGACGCTTCAACCGATCTTGAACACGTGGACCGTAGTTTCTTGGTGGTCGGCGGCAAAACCTATCGCGAGGTGGCCGTCGACTGTCCACCTGACTTCATCCCCGTTACCAAGTGCCACCCTGTGTATCCTCCGCCGAATAAGACACCGAGTAGCAGCAAGCACAACACACTAGAGCCAAAAAGAGATCGTAACGGAACCGATATAGTTAACAGGGACAGTACCAGTGGTGTGGTAACGGGGATCGACGAAGGGAGTGTCGTTGCCTCCTCACCCTGCCCTCCCCTCGGTGATATTAGCTTCACCATGATAGACGAGGCCGCTATGGAGAGTAGTAGCATAGTCACGACCCGTACGCTAGACAGAAAGCACGACTCCTCGTCGAAGAAGGTAAGGTCCAAAGTCAAGAGTTTGCTTCTCGACAGCTTCCTCTCTATCGTGCAGCCACGCAACACCACTACGCTTCTTCACGCTTCTTCCGCTACCAGTCACCATTCCTCTAACAGTAGCTCATTCTTATCACACTCTAACAATGAATCACAGCTTAGCAAGGGAGGAATCGCGTCACGATCGTCGAAGAGGGACGTCGAGGACGAGTGTAGTACGTTCTCGATGCCCTCGCGAAGGTTCTACGCCTCCACGGAGAATTTGATCGCACGTAGGAACTTACAGGTTCGTTTCTCCTGTGATGTGACGTCCGAGTACTCGAACAGAAGTACTTGTACCATTATTTTGCCCGATCGTACAGAAGAAAGTACGGAAGAAAAGAATAGTCTCTCTGGTGGTTCTTTTGACGATGGTTCTTTCAACGAGAAACCACCTGTTCAGAGTACTCCATTGAGACTGTCGTTTGTTCAGGAGAGAAATCAAAACTGTAGAAACTCTTTGTGTGAGTTCTCTCGCGAGAAAGATGGTCACTCGTTCGATTTAGAGATCGCTAAATCTTGGAGAAACGAAAGTGACGATGAATTCTTGACATTTGACGATTCACCAAATACTCAAAATCAGACGAATTCGCGTTTGTCTCTCGAGTATAGGAAATCGAAATTCCTGGACGTGTCCTGTGGCTCGTTCAGACTGAGAACCAATCAGGACGCGTCTAAGAGCGAGTCAGAATTATCCTTTATTCGCCTGGAGAGCTCCGATGGAGAAACTCTTCAGAATTGGCGTTCTGATTCGAATCTGATGAAATTGAATCCGTGGCAAGTGTCTCTGGATAGAGGCTGGATCAGTGAACACGAGGTTAGTTTCCCTGAGACAAGACGTGGGGTACCAAGCGGAAGGAAACAGTCGCAAGATGCCGCGAAGAAACGTATGTACGCCTCCTCGTACGAGCGTCTCGACGATCTTGATGAACATAAGGTAAACTTTGCTTTAATTGACTCCTGTAGCCTCGTTGCCGTCGTCGAAACGGTTCCATCTCGATACTCTTGCGCCCTGCGATTACATATTTCATTTCTTTATTGGGTATCACTTCTATAGTGGTGTAAAGAGTGTAAAGTTTCGGACCACTGTGTTGGCAAATAGTATACGTGGCAACTAATTTCACATTAGTAGTGAAATGGTTAATTGTAATGAATAAAGGCAGCAAGAGCATCGGCCGCGTTCGCGAAGCAAGGAGCGCTTGCAACGCATGCAGAACGACAAACGTACAGTTGAGCCAAAGTTGAGCAGCATGCCAAAGTAGACTCACAGCCCATTGTGAATAGTTTGCGTAGTCGGTAGAAGGTGTACGCCCCGTACTAGGTAGTATGCACGTGCTTCGCTCTTTAACTCTCTTCTTCCTCTCGCATCGCTTCTATCCTCTCCAATCTTTATACCTCTCTCTATCTCTCTGTTTCTCCCTTTCTCTTCGAGAATTGAAAGTCGTCGCGTTCGAAGGATTTGCTCGAACCATCGTTCGACGACTTCTACACAGACTATATATTATAGAAATGGAATATAAGGAGAAAGAAAAAAGAAAAACGTTGGAAGACGTGAAGAATAGTTGCAGTAGATGCGATCATGACGTGCCATTGGCTGCCTTAATGCGAGCTGTGCTCTTTTTTTCTTTTTTTCAAACCGATTTCTAGGCCGGTCTGAACGGGGTGAAACCTGCCATCCCCCCAAGAGATCAAAAGAGGGCACCTGCTAGACCGCCGAAAGATAACCTGCGTCTCTCAGCTCAGAACAATAATGTGGAGACGACCGATAACGCCAATGCGGAGCCTACGCAACAGCAACTGCATTCCATCAGGAAATACCAGGTATAATATAGTACCTTTTCAGCAAAAGAAACACACAGCCGCCATCTCGTTCGTCTCGTTCGACCGCTCCCTTCGAGATTATCGAGATACATATGTGTATAACGTATTGCACTTGGCGCACTTCAGACTTTTTCTTTCGCTTCGACTATTCTACGCATGCGTAATAGAAATTAGTGAATAATTCAGCGTAGAATTAACGATGAGGTTAAGTGTCTTCGATATTCAACGAAGATATTAATCGTAGCTCGTTTTCTTTGTTATACATAGTCAATGAAAAGCGAGTTTATTATTTGCAAATGGCGGGTAATGAAAGCGTGAACGAATTCAATTGGACGATTCGAAAATGAAATCGCCTTCCACGGGAATGTTTGTCGGTTGGAATTTTCAGCGAAACCACTGGCAATTACCTTGTGGTTATAGGCAGTGAGAGAAAAATCAATTTAACGCGTTAGTGATCCAAGCAAAATTCTATTCGATAAAATTTGTGGTTCTTTTTTTTTTTTATTATTTTATTACACTTTCGACAGGTGTCCGAGCGATATCGAATATTATTCTTTGAGGAATAATTGAAACATCCGTCGGGGCATTTCGGTGGGTGTGCAAAAAGAAAGTATCGAACGCGGGAAACGCGTGGTATTCCGCATGAATAATTTAGTGTTATGCAACAATGCGAATGCAGCGAACGACGGATCGTTGTTTAAGAGGACGTGCTAGACTTGGTTGTCCACGTTCCGACAGGAAATTACCAGACTCGGAGGACACAATAGATATCGAACGAGCCTCTGACCTCTTCTCTACTCTTCGAATTTCCTATTTCATGTAAACGCTCATGTATTCCGATTCATCTCTCCTGATCTTGCTGAATTTTAATTGTGTCACATTGACACGTTCACTTCCACGTTATGCACTTCTTTTCCTAGTAACCTTTGTCTTCTCTAATGACTAGATATACAAATTTCACTGTAAGCTAGAAAATATAAAATTCTTTAATCAGTGTATCTCATATACTTCTTGAATCATCGTTCCATTTCACATTATCCTAACACAGGATTCTTTACCAATTATAGAAATCTTTTTAACAACCTTAAAGTGTATCCTCACCAACGAACAGTTCGCAAACTGTTTGCGAATATTGCATAACAGTTCAGGAACAGTTCCCGAACACCAGTGTATCAGTTACTTCAGTTTCTTGAGAGGAATCAGTTCGTTACTTGCGTTTGCTGTGCACTCGCTACTTGAAAAATCAAGTCTTGTAAAAAGATGTCGATAAGATTAATTTAAATTTGTAGAAAATTATGAGTACGCAAGATCAGCTGTTAGCATGCGCTAATTTTGTGGTTATTCATCTGCTAGTAATATCTTCATAATCCTTATTAATTCGAACTATAAAAATACCGATATAACACTATATCTTTATATAGAAATACTAATATATTAATATACATTCACCGGTAATTTTTTCGGTAATTATATTTTTACGATATTTCTAAGATATTTTTGTTTATGCATATATTTGTTGTTAACAAATTCGATCCCCAGTAACGCTATCGTTTATGGTTAGAACTTTCTTCCGCCTTTTTTCGATGAGTGTTCTCGGTTCTATATACTTTTCTTTCTTTTTTGTTTTTGCGACAAAATTATCGTTTGCCAAATTTCATTTAAGTCTCATAAGACAGATATTGGAAACATATGGGAAACAAAAATCAGATATGAAATGTACCTCAGTGTCGACTAGTCAGTAATGCGCTCCGTTCATAGCGATCATATTTTGTCATAAGCGCGCCGTAGCGAAAAGGTTAAGGAAAAGACAATTGTTTGGTCGCGGCGCTGGTTCGTCCACGGCAGGTATATGGTGACTAACACATTTTATTGCGATAATCCGCCAAACCGAGGCTTCGTTGCATGACCAGGAGGTCGCAACAAACAGTAAACTAATAATGCAGTAATAAACAAGTAACAATGATTAATAAATTGTATTACAGGAATATCAGTATCATGTACAGTTGGTTTCGCTATATCGGTTTTAAACCCCTGTCTAAAAATATTTTGAAAATTGTAATAAAATAAGAAAACTAAAAAAATTACCGGTAAATGTAGGTAAATATAGTACCGGTATTTTCGTATTTCGATTTCTATAAAAGTTTTGAAGATGTAACGGAAAAATACCGGTATCATACCGGCATTTTAAGTTTCGGTAGAAGTTTCTGCATTCAACTAAATTTTTGAAAAAAAAAAAAAAAATACCGAATTTAAAAACGATGGTGTTATTAATTAATGGTTGAATCACCTTTGACTAGCACATTTCACAAATATTTTTTTTATCGATAATTATCCATGTTGAAGGGGTGAAAATATTTCTCAAATATTTTTGAAATATCTTGAAAATTCAACCATCTGAAGAATTTTTAAATAACTTCATTCATTTGAACAATATATTAAAAGTAACTATTTTTATATAATTTTCCTTGTAAAATGTTAATCTATTTTCATGAAATTTTGGGTGTAAAAACTATGGACCAAAATAGACGTGTGATCACGCCGACGGCTCGCATCCCTCAATACTTTGGATACACTTCTCTCGTTTATTCTTTGAAGTTACCGCCCCACACGCGACACATGACGAACTGTTCGCAAACAGCCACAGGACAGATGAAAACAATGTCGATCGTGTCTAGCTCGGATACTGTTTACAAACTGTTCACAAATTGTTCCTGTACAGCTTGTACACAGGTCGCAAAAAGAAGTCTACAAAAAATTTGATTTCATTCTAGTCGCTTGTAATTGATTACAAATGATTCAAACTATATCGTGTTTGGGCTTATTTCAATCAGAAAAATCTTACCAACGAGAAGAATCTCACTGTAAATATGAATTTGTTACGTGTTTGCGAAAAGATTACGTGGTGGTTAATGTTCGCCGGTGAGGACGTCCCTTTTTACTCTGCATCACGAACAGTTACATGACAGACGATTTCTAGGAAATTTGAATCCCATATTGTTCGCGAACTCTGGAGAGGACGCATCTCAAGATATCCATTCAACTGTAATTCGTTCGACTTCAAAATGCATCGAACATCTTCTAATTGGAAACTCTGTATCCCTCATCGAGGGGAAAGAAACGCTAGGAGTGGCGTCTCGTCGCGTCCCGAGGCGTAGCGTTTGCCTTGTAAAATTCCCGCGGCGGCCACCTTAAGTCAAGTGTGGTCTGGAATGTAAAGAACGGTCTAAAATTACACAGCTCGAGTGTAACGTTACGAAGGAGTTTCGATAGGTGTGTTGTAGCAGAGCTAAAGACCTGACTCAGAGGCCTGGCGTTGGCCTCTTCTCTTCCTTTCCCCGCCCTTTTCCCTACCCTGACCTCGGTCTCTACTGCTTCTCCCTGGCTCTCTTCACGGGGAATCTGGTATTTTTTTCTTCGACTTCTCTGCTCTGTTCGCTGTTAAAAACCAGACTCGATACCACGGACAGAGAACGTCCGCTCTGCTAAACGATAACGAGAGCCCCTTTCTTGTAATTTCGACGACATTACGCTCGTTCCGCCTCGAGGAATCCCAGACCCTCTCAACGTCTTACGTATATATGTTTTTCCGTTATATCTTAAACATTCAAATATTTGGTTATTCTACATTTAAATAATTATTTTCCAACGTACAAACATGGTGATTTAGGCTAGGCGTTTCACATCGTTTTACAACATAGAGTGTTCACACGAGAGAGATTTGGACTGGCTTAGGTCAGCAAAGATCGTGGCGATGTTTACCCGACTTTTCTAGCGCGCTTTCGCTGCCAGAATTATAGGAAATCCATCGAGTATGCAGAAGCTGACGTTCGGTGAAGCCGTATCCGCGAGGATAAACGGGGCTTCGTCCAAGTATTTCTGCACTGGGAATAATACGTGGCTCGAACGTTACATAAATCACCTCGAAAATGATCTTTGTGCGAACGTGGACGTTTTATCAGCTGGTGGGCGTCGATCACCGTCGACAAACAACATCAAGCACGCTGATATCATTTCGATTATAATTTGATACCATTGCAGCCTGCAGTTTAATTATGAAGCTTCTTCAAATTATAATTTTCACTTCTGGAATATATATTCTTCCTCCTCTTTACCCTTCGCATTATCGTCATCGTCCATTTGAGAAAATAAAAAATCAGCCTCTGAATGCTTTGCTTGATGTTACCTAGAATGTTTCGTATTTCACGGGCCAACATTTCTTTTTTCTTTTTTCATTATTAATCCCCTGTGAGGTGTTCCCCTTTTATGTGTTTCAATCGCTGTTTGTCAAGAATACTTCTGTGATGAGAAAAGGTTGCTCGAAAGGTAAGGTTCTGCATGAATCGTGGCCTTCGACGACTGAAAACGGATCGGGTCGCGGAATAATTGATAGAGTCGGCACGATTCCATTATTGTCCCCGGAACACGTCCTGAAATAAGTGTGTTGCACACTTTTTACTATTCTCAATGTTGAATGGCGCACATCACCGTGCTTACCTCCCTCCGGCAGAATTAATTTGCCAGACGCCACATCGTGTGACGAACGAGGTAAGGCAATTGATTATTATCCTCGAGCCGATTAAAATCTCTCTCTGGAATAAAGATAGCGTTTCAAGTGTCAGTATTCGACGTTAGTGCGAAGAGAAAAAATATATGATACGATTTGAATAAATTGGCAAGAAACTTCTTTTCCGAATATTCAAGAGTAGAAATAAAGAAATGATTTGATTTTTAGGAGCAGCTGCGAAAACGAAAGGATGAAGAGGAGAGACAGGAGATCCTCAATCGGTCACTACGTGGCTCGAGGAAGCTCCAGGCGTTGGAAAGTCATACGACGAGTCTTTCCGGCCAAGAAAATCCTGCGTACGCCCAAGATGACGTGACCACCGTCGGTCGTGGCACTCATGTCACCGCGAGCGCCGCGCAAGAAGTCGAGGAGCCTCCGCGGCCCCTCAGTAAGTCGCATTTCCTCCCGAGATATACGTCTCTTCGAGGACCCCTTCACCCGATGGCACACTAACGATACTCGTCGAGGCTCATTAGGCCACTATTTGTGCTTCGATGAGTTCTGCCCTTACTTTTTAATTCCATCTTCTTCAGGTCCTTCAAAGTCCACGCATAATCACCCAGAAACTATTTCTTTCGCGTTTTGTTAATTGAATAATTTCGATAGTGAGTAATGAATAGCTTATTTTCATAGTTCTCTGAAGTAAAATAACGCTTTAAGAAGGAGTTAGCAGCTGATAAGAAATAGCAGAGGCCGTCTATTTTACGGTGGAAAGCGACAGAGCCTCGAAGCGTTTTGAAGAATCCCTCTAACTGTCGCCCGTTGCATATTTCAGCGTACGGAGAGGTCGTCGCCACGCTGGAGAGGCTACAGCTTCAACTGCGCAATATTTCCGGTGCTCTAGGCATCTCTGGACCGGGCGTAGAGGCCGAACTAGAAGCAGTGCGAACGCTTTTGGTACAAAGTCGATTCGCATCTGCCTTGGCCACCCACCACGCTCTCAGGAATCGCCTGCGATCCAGCAAAGTATTGAAACACCACGCTGAAGACACCTCCACTTTGGCTCGAGATGTACGAACGCACTTTTCAATATCATTTGTACCGTATGAAATTATTTCAATTTAAGATTATTTCTAATTTACATACGTAATTATATTTCAGTGCGTGGACATTCTCGAGAAATGGAAGTCTTCGTCGACAGAGACAATCGCCGCTGTGGAAGAGCTGACCAGTATTCTAACCAGTTATGACATGGACGCGTTATTATTGGCCCACGACTCCATAATCTCGTACGTCGACGGATTACAGAGGAAACAGAGTCCATCTTCCGCGTCCCCGAGCGGACCTCCCAGCCCCACTTCCAGCTGGAGAGGCTCTCGAGTCGTAGACAACATTAAAATAATTAGAATCGAGAAGACTAACGAACCTCTAGGTGCTACAGTTAGAAACGAGGGTGATGCGGTTATCATAGGTACGTGATTTATGCTTGGATGACTGTACAGGATTGTTTATCTTATTAATTGTTTAATCTACAGGACGTGTAGTTCGTGGAGGTGCGGCGGACAAGTCAGGACTCTTGCACGAAGGTGACGAGGTTCTCGAGGTGAACGGCGTGGAGATGCGTGGTAAGAGTGTGAACGAGGTGTGCGACATTTTGGCTGGTATGCAAGGCAGTCTGACTTTTCTCGTACTTCCTGCTCCTACGAGTCACAGGAATAATTTATCAAATAGAAGGGAAGATACTAACCAGGTATTGAAGTTGTTTCTCAGTGAAGAATACAAATTATATCGTATTATATTAAGAGTGTATAAATTGTATTATTTTATCAGATACAACATATACGAGCCCACTTTGACTATGATCCAGAAGAAGATCCCTATATCCCTTGTCGAGAGTTGGGAGTCAGCTTCCAGAAGGGTGACGTGTTACACGTGATCTCTCAAGAGGATCCCAATTGGTGGCAAGCGTACAGAGAGGGCGAAGAAGATCAAACTTTGGCTGGCCTGATACCCAGCAAAGCCTTCCAGTACCAGTACGTCCATTACTCTTCTTTCTCATTATATTTTTCTCCTTTGATAATATATAATATTATCAATCTTTTACAGACGAGAATCTATGAAGCAGACCATCGCTGGTGACAAGTCAACCGTACGTGGCTCCAAAAAGTCCAGCACGTTGTTGTGCGCCAGAAAGAATCCAAAGAAGAAGAAACGAAACAAGTTCGGGGCGAACTATAACGACGACGGGTATCCTCATTATGCAACAACTGCCATCGACGGTACATATTACATGGAAGAGACTGTAGAAGTTGTCGAAGTGTGTTGTTCACTGTTTGTTTGCTCATCAAATGTTTACTCTTCGTAGATTATGACAGTGAGGAGGTGCTCACGTACGAGGAAGTAGCGTTGTACTATCCTAGAGCGAATCACAAGAGACCAATAGTACTCATAGGGCCGCCGAACAATGGACGACAAGAACTGAGGCAGAGGCTGATGCAGGACAGCGAGCGTTTCGCAGCAGCCATTCCTCGTAAGCGTTCCCAACAATAATATACACATATTTGTACTCATTAATGGAATTCATTTTCCACGATAATGGAATAATATTTGCTTCCAGACACGAGTCGTCCCAGGAAAGACTCCGAGGTCGACGGTCAAGATTACCACTTCATCTCCCGTTCTCAATTCGAGTCGGATATTCTCTGTCGAAAATTCGTGGAGCACGGCGAATACGAGAAAGCCTACTACGGTACCTCTGTAGAAGCTATACGGACCGTAGTAAATTCCGGGAAAATCTGTGTTCTAAATCTCCATCCGCAGAGCCTGAAGATCCTTCGAAATTCGGATTTGAAACCGTACGTTGTGTTCGTGGCACCTCCAAGCTTGGAGAAGCTTCGACAGAAGCGAATCAAGAATAACGAGAGCTTCAAGGAAGAGGAATTGAAGGATATAATAGAGAAAGCACGGGAAATGGAGGACAAATACGGTCACCTGTTCGACATGATTATCATATACACCGACACGGACCGTGCTTACAATCAGCTACTGACGGAGATCAATTCGTTGGAAAGGGAGCCACAATGGGTGCCCGCGTCCTGGGTACAATAAGAAAGAAGCAAGGCTTTCGACACCAAGCCAGAAGATATATCGCTTCGAAGGCCAGTAAGAGAAAGAGAGAGAGAGAGAGAGAGAGAGAGAGAGAGAGAGAGAGAGAGAGAGGCGGCTTCAAAGTCTGACTGGTTCTTCAACTGGTGCCTGTTATACAAATTTTACGTTTCATACACACACGCGCGTATTAAAACTCCTAGCCAGGCTATCGTACTCCAAGTACCGCTGGTTTGGTGTAGTCTTCCGTGTCGTATTCGGTGCCATCTGATGATTCGAGGATCGTCGTTAGTGATCACGTTATAGAGAGGGGGATAATTTACCCGTCTCGTTATGATTCTTCGTTCCTCGACAGAGAGGCGAGTTCACAAGAGATCCTTAGATAAATTGACTGGCGTGTGGCGCTCGTTTTCCATCGTATATACCAGCAACGCTCTAGTTTCCCAAGGAATTCACAGGATTTTCAAAGAAAAAAAAAATGAAAAATCGCTACTATTCTCCGCATTAAGATATCGTATAACGTTTCCCAAAGATGTATGAATCTTGAAAGAGATCGCTCCACCTTCTTTCAGAAGTCACCAGATTCTTTCTAGGGTACACCGAGCCGCGATGAGAGAAAATAGAACCGTGAAAATCTTGGACGACAGCAGTCCTTTTCACGATGATAAATCCTATAGAAGGGAAAACGACGATCCCTGCTGCTGTACGGTACTTTTGTATGAGTCCAAAATGTTTTGCGGATCAGTTTGCAAGTTGTTAAAAAATCGATTAACGTTAACCACGTTTCCTCGTATTCGTAATTTCCGTGTGAACTAGTAACAAAGATTCGGGAGATGGCCGAACTCATAAACGTTTCATCGTTCGCCGTAGGCACTTCTCTCTCTTATCTTTCTCGTGTTTGTTTAGAGAAGAAGAGAATCATACTTCTAATTCCAAGTAGATTTCGTTAAATAACGAATAGACATTTAGGCTCGTGTGTGAACCAGCGTAAACAGATTTCTCGCGAGACACTTTGGAACTGAAGAACAAACTTCTCTCCCCATCGCGGTATACGAATCTTCTTTTGCCTGTTAATTTTTCGATTATTTTCTTCCCTCCTCGTTCAATATCGCATTCCATGTTTCGGTTCATGCGATCACGATCAACCTTGCATCTTCTTTACTAGCAATAATAAACGCAGGATCTGTTCTCCGGGTCGAAGATCCTCGCTGAAAAAAAGACAAAAAAAGAAAAGAGAAATAAAAGACATGGTTTCGTAGCTCCAAAGAAGTAACACAATAAGAAAAAAGAAGAATCGAATGAACTTCATTTTTCGATCTGGTAAATCCAGTTAGCAGCGAAAGAATATCTCCGACGAGAGGTAAACGC